CTTGGGATAAGAAGATAAAGAAAGGAAGTTGGTGCGCTTATATTTGATTCCTGTTTCGAATAATAGAGGAAGAAACTGATATGTGATTTTATCTGATAATCTGTGATGTTTAAAGTTTTTCATTTGTTTGTGATATAAGATGAGTTTTTTACATTTAAAGCATCATTTGATTTGCTTTAATAAAGAACCGTATGAGTTCATACATGGGGTGTTTTAAATTGAGTATATGTTATTTTTAGCATGATTTTGGGTTTTGTTATGTTATTATCAATTGATTGGAATAAGAGTGGCATAATCAAAAGAGATGTACATTTTGTAACAAAGGTGACGTAAACAAGAGCTGGGTAAATCTGTAATAAGGATGACACAATCAAGAGTTGGGTAAATCTGTAATAAGGGTGGCACAATCAATAGTTGGGTAAATCTGTAATAAGGGTGACATAATCAAAAGCTGGGTATACTGGGATAAGGGTGACATAATCAATTTCTAAAAAAGATGATCTTTTGATCATGAGATTATTGTTATTTCATCTTTGTGATGTGATGGGATTAATTTTATCGCATGTGCCTGATGCTGCAATAAAATTGGGGATTTGATTCAGAGTGTTATTTTATCCCATCCTTGAGGTGCGATAAAGGGAAGTTATCGCATCTATGTGATGCGAGGAGTTATGTTTATCGCATCCTTGAGATGCAACAAGTTTATGTTATCGCATCAAGGAAAGAGATTATCGCATCTGTATGATGAGAGGAAAATTGTTATCGCATCCATTGGATGAGATAAAAAGTTGTTATCACATTTGAAATGATGCGACAAGTTGGGGTATTAAGTGTTTGATGTGAGAAGTGGGTTATTATATTGTTTAATACGATAAAATGGGGTTATCTCATCTTTTTGATGCGACAGAAAATGTTTGATACAATAAAATGTCATTTACATGTTATCATTTCAAATGTTGACTTTTCAAAAGTGTTTTGATTATTTTCACCATGTAATAGCAATCAAGGAGAATTACCTACTAGACTTTATGATCTACCCCTCCTTTTCTTAACCGTACAAGATTTAAACTAAAGCATGAGATTATTATTAAGATTGGAACAAATTAAACACCCAACGAAGAGGATGTAAATTTACTAGGCAACCAAATGTTGGTATGCAATATCTACAACAGTGGTGGCAGTGGCACCATCTTGTATTTGATGATGATGATGATACACATGAGGCTGAGCTGAATTCAAAGATTGTTACAAGACCTTCATCCCCTGATCTGGAATTCAGGAGTCAGCTCGTACAAAATGGAAAAGGGAAAAGGAGAGGAGACTATTACACATTGGTCTCAATTATTGGTGGCAAAGATTCTGCAAGAAAAGCAATCTTCAATGGTGATAACCACTACCATCAATAATGGAGCTTTTGGATTTGAGTTCCACTCTTCAGTGTGTTAATCATCTTAGTTTCTACTTGGCTGGCACACATTTCAGTTAAACACCTCTTAGGGGCTGTTTACCAAACACTTATTCGGTAAGTGCTTACCGGTAAAAATTAACACTATCATTTACTTATCGGGTAAGATTTTAGTCCATTAAAACGGCATCGTATGCAATAATTTACCCGGTAAGCACTTACCGTGGTAAGAGTCGTTGCCCTCACTTACTGGGTAAGACTCTTGGTCCTTGTCTTGCTCTTACCGGGTAAACTTCTTGGTCCTTACCATATTCATCCGATAATGTAATGTGATTTGGTAAGCGCTTACTCGGGTAAGCATTTAGTAAACGGCCCCTTACTGATGTCTGATGTACACATTAATGTCGATTATTTCTGAATCTTATAATCTCCTATTTATTCCCTTATATAATATGATTATATGTACGCATACATTTCTTTTGTTAACTGTCTAATTAGTACAAACTTTGCTAACCGGGTGTTTTCGTCTTTCTTATATATTGATACTAACTAAATTCCTTAATTATCTCATTCACTTTCTGTTTTCACCTATGAACAGTGGTAAATTTTTTGGAACAACTAATGTTTGTACACGAAACAACATTATGAACTTTAAACAAAAATCATTGTTTAACATATGAACTTTCTGGTTTCATCTTTGAGTTTCGGTAAAAAAAATCGGAACAATCAAAGTTACCTTAAACAAACACCATATAAAACTTGATTATCTTCCAAAAAAAAAAAAAAAAACAAATACCATATTAAACTTCGATGGAGAGCAATCCAAGAGGGAGAGAGGAGAGAATAATGATGATTATCTTCCAAAAATAAAAATAATTTGTTCCAAAGTTTCCCTCCATTTAATTCAATTTAATTTCTTTCTTTTTTTCATTATATAACCTCTCATTTAACCATAACTGTTGATCAAAAAAATGGACGATTTATATGAGTTTGAAAAGTTAATACTATTTACTTGGTTATATATATATATTGGGAGGTTCAAATAAGAAGGTCAAGTATCATGAGAAGGTGAGCAAGGAAGGTTCATATGTAAATCACTGAAAATATCAATTTGGATATGCATATGCAACCCATATGAATAATCTTTAACGTCGGTTCACATATGCATCTCCATATAGATTTGTTTCGGATATATTTGAATGATTCACATATGATCTTTACCTTAACCATCCCTCTTATCTTCTTACGATATTTAACCATCTTATTTGAACCGATCTCTCTCTCTCTCTCTCTATATATATATATATATATGTGTGTGTGTGTGGGCGGGTTTAAGGAGAAGGCAGCCAATTTACGAGTGTGAGGAGGGCCAAATCGCATGTGATTCTAAAGTAAATCACACGTGATTTACTGCATGCATGTCCATAAGGAATGGCTGGTCAATGCGACCCTTCTAGGCGTGTAGTAAATCACATGTGATTTGGCCCTTCTCGCACTTATTGTAAGATGACCGTCTTCTCGCATCTACAACTATAATCTTGATGAGGAACACTGTATTATATGTGATCATCTTGCAAACCAGGTGACGAATACGAGATAGTCACTAGAAGCCATGCATCCAAACTCAAAGCTTCAAAACCATATCATTAACATGAACACTTGGGAACAGAGTTAGCCAGGCTCAATCTGCAATCAAGTGATTTTGATCGAACTGCAGAAATATCTCACCGGATGCCTGTGCTTGTCTCGATATAGCTTTATCAGACTTCATGTGCGCTATGTGAATGGCTAGTCTTTGCACCGAGTTTGTTGTCTGACTGGATTTACCATGGATATGATGGGCATAGTTTCTAGGAGACAATGTACCTTTTCTATTGAATGCGACATAAGTTGATACCTTTCATAATTGACAAAACATTATGGGAGTATGGAGCATCTTTCATCGTCAGCTTTCCAAATCCTTTCAACTGTAGTTTCTCTTGTTCGAGTAATTGATTGGTTGAAATCTGCAATTTTCCAATCAGAGCTGTCATAAAGGAAATTTCCTTCCTAATGAAGCCAAGTATATCCTTCTATAACTTGGAAGGGTGTTCACAGGCTTCACTCTTTGGGTAGAGATCAGGTCTGCATATATCTTTTCCTCCCTAGACCCCACCTACAGGTGGGATTATGGGATATACTGGTTTGGTTTAACCTTCTGTAACTTGATTACCTAAACTAGAACTTAATTTAACACCTCTTTCCAAGAGGTAAAAAACATCCCCTTTTTTCATCTGATGCATGCATGTTAGTTGCAGACCAACAATGGGACAAGAAAGGAGAAAGTTTGTGGCATTAACTTTTTATTTTAGCTACCCATGTGCAGTTAGAACTTAGATTGCATGTTGGATTGGATTGGATTAAGAAAGATAAATTCAGCAATGATGGTATCTGGGTAATAAGCATCAGCTAACATTGTGGCAGCAACCATGGTAATACAGAGGATTCAAGTGTTATCTGGAATGATTTGGCAGCAACCAAGAGGAATCATTACCGTAGGGCAGAGAGAGGAAGGTCATAAGCGTCTATACCATAAAACAGATTTTCGACAGAATGAAAACAACATATATGGTAGAGTTGTAACAATAGAACAAGACCCGGATTTGAAATGCATTTATATGGGTATATTAAATTTGAGCAAAGAAGTTGGAAGGCTTTTGCAATGCAACTTGAGGGGCTGTTTTTGACAAAGAAAGGTGTCATTTACCTAAACAATAAGAAAGGATCATCACATTGCTTTGAATTGTTTAAAGTAGTGGATGGGACCAAAAAAGGTGCAAGTAACATAGGTGGGCACTATGGCTTTTTGTGACTGTCATAGCAGCGGTGGAGGAGATGGTGATTGTAGGACCAGCCAACTAGCTAACAAAGAAGCACATCAAAGGAGACAACTTGAAAGAGCAGTAGTCAAACAACATTATTACACCAAGATGTTGAAACTTTGGCAAGTAATTTCGATTTCCACCATGCTTGTGCGAAAAATGAAACCACCATAAACTAGAGCATACATGGTCCAAATCTAACCGATGTGGAACTCTAAGACGCCCTCTCCAATGGAGACTAGACTAGACTAGACGGGCACAGATTGTCGTAAAGTGTCGTGAGGGAGCTAGATGAATATACAAAGTCCCTACAGTGGCTCTGATTTTGATCTCAGTAGAAGGAAGCTTGAGTTAAAGAAATGTATATGGTATTGGTGAATCTTTGCATGATCCAAGAACAGTGATGGGGTTTAGGTCTTATGTCTAGTTAGGTATTACTACTTTATCATTATTAGGTAGCCTAATTACTTGTTATTTAGATGTTAGTGCAGCCACATTTTACTTTACAAGGAAGAATATTCTTTGCTTGGGAATTGCTTTTGGGAATATATACTTTGTTAAACTATACTTTCAATCTTATACACTTGCTTACAGATTCTGTGAAACATGCCATAGTTGTGAGTAGGCTCAACAAAGAGCATTGGTTGAACCTTGATTTCAGTCATCTCTAAGCACTATGCTAAGACAATGAAGTATATGTTCAGATGTCTTGTGATCCATTCAGCAATTCTTGTGTAAAAAGTTATCTGCTGAATGCATGACATACCACAGTTTTGCTTAACAAATTAATTTTCTCATCAATAGATAAATAATGAACAGATGCTAGGAACTAGAGCAATAAGTAATCAAAGAACTACAACCTTGGTGGATCACGCTTTTATCCTACATACTTCGATAAATTCTCCTAGTTACATAGCCAGATATCCCATTCTCCGGGATATGAAAGTTGTGCAGCTCTAACAGTTCCCTTGAAAAACCGTACCCAAATGTCCATACTGAGATCCATATGATGAGCTCCCATGAAGTGGTGCCATCCTCAGGCTGCTGTTTGGAAGGTTAAATGCCATGTTTGTTGCCACCTGCTGATTAGGAAGACTCCATTTGTACAGTGCTTTAGACATATTCGAATGGTGGTGCTGAGGTTTTGGTGGCTGTGTGACCAAGGTGGTACATTCACTTGGTTTTGGACATGTATCATTCTCTGGCAACTGTGTTTTTGTTCTAGTGTCGTTAAGGTGCACCGTGGTGATATCGTGAATGCTTGACCTCCTCTTATCCTTTCCACCCGATAACTGCCGGATGAAGTACTTCTGAGCATGACTAGCAACCTGGGTAGGTGTCCTACTTGTCACAAAATTCCTTGAGATATTTCTCCAGTCCCCTTTGCCATACTTCTTCAGCCCCAAAAGAAATTGCCTGAGAATAAATCATTTAACAAACCAAATCAGGGAATTTCCAAGCCAATTCGTAGTAATAATGCTATATGGTAAAAACTGAAAACCAAACCAAACCAATCCAAACAAACGCAATATATCCCGCTCGAAAGTAGGTTCTAGATGGTGGGATGTATATAAATCTGTCTTCCATCCCAAATGTAGAGCGGCTGTTTATGTGCCTTTGTGGTAGTTGTATGCAATGCCATATGGTATTATATACACCATGTCAATGCACACCTGGTTTTCATTACTGGGATTCATAGTTTTCAGAAATGAAATCATTCTTCCGTTTGAGCTTTACTCCAAAGGTCAAAAGTGTCTAGAGGTCCCATGTTCAAATCCAAATCCACGAAGGAATAAAACTCCCTTGTGGCTATGGAGGTTCAAATGCGGTGACTTCGGGCTACCTGCAACAAATTTAAATTTGTAGGTGGTCGCCCTGGTATTAGTCGACTCACGTAGCAAGTTGGATATCCCAAAGAACCCAATATATCTCAATCGAAAATAGAGTTAGGGTCTGGATGTGAGATGTAGGCAAACTTGTCCTCTACCTCAAAGGGTTCAAAACTGTTGTTTCTGTTCCTTAAACCTTCATTTATTGTGATTTGCTTACATGTACATAATGATCTCCTGCCATTTATGAAAGAAAATTGAGTTCAAGATAATAAGTTCACCTGTGCTCTTCTTCTGTCCATGGAATTCCTTTCTTCTTTTCCTGATCAGGAAGCCTATTTGATGCACTTCTCTTTCCTCCAGGACTGTAAAATTGTGGGTGGTTGTTGGCCACCCACTCGAGTGTCACAGGATCACTGCTGCTGTATCCAGGTACCACACACACCCCTGCCTCTATCTCACTAATATCCTCTTCCAATTTCCGATAATGATTGATCACGTCAACCACAGTTTTTCCCGGGATCAATTGCGCCACATTGTGCCACCGATCTGGCGTTTCCTTATCAAACAACGCCAGTGCATCCTCAAACCGCTTGTTCTCTTCCAGGGTCCATTCCGTCTCTTTGGTTCCCTCGAAGAACAACGTTGAGCCTCTGAAATACGATGATGGAGAGGGAATTTCGGTTGCTCGATTCATTTTCGATGAAAAATGACCAACACCCAGTTATGGAGGAATTGAAATGGAGAGAGAGTCTATGGTGAAGAAGTTGCCACTAAATCACTCTTTTGAGGAGAGCCTGTGTGCTTTATTGACATAAGCATGAAGTGAGGAATCTAGGAAGCACCCAACTTTCCAATACATGAGGAAAAAGCTCTGCTGAATGGTAAAAGAAGATTAAAGGGGGGGTTTTTTATCAAGTATAAAGCACAAAGATGCATAAATCAAACATCAAAAAGAAACCCATGAAGATTTAGGCAACAGAAAGATGAAACATTCCTGCTTTTCTTTCACCTAGAAGGTGATTATGGGTAAGAAAATGGGAGTGAGTGAGCTTAAAGAAGTGAATCCAAGCTTGTCAGCAGCAAAACTGTACTTGATTGAAAGGGGTGAGAGATCTGTATTGGCAGATATATAATACCAAAAGGAGGAGCTTTAATTAATATGAGGTGGTTAGGTATGATTGGGTGATATGTATTTGTGGGGTCATCTGCTAAATTAAAAAGCTTTTTATTAAGAGCTGGCCAATCAAAAGCTAAAGACAACAATTTGTCATTGGTGAAGCAGATGCACATGGGTTTTATGGTAATTTACACAAAAAGTTGAAAAAGTTTGGCAGCAGTTGTGTTGACATTTAGCTGTGACCTTCTAGGAATGGTATTCAATTATTGTGGTCATACCCTCTTTTTTTCTATTGTTTTGGTGTGAGTACAGCATAAGGGAACTTGCCCTCCACAAGATTATTTAACCTTGTTTCTTTTACTAGTGGGGCTCCCATCAAAGAAGAAACCACATAAAAAGGTAAACACTAGTGTTGAAGTAGATGGAGTTTTTAAGGACCTAACTTAGGCTAGAATTCCTAAAAACAAACTTAACTAAGATATGGCCTTTTGTTCACTATTGTTGATGTCGAATTAATATGGTGGTCCAAACTCATCATGGCATAAGATGAATGAGGGGTAAGCCCTTTCCTTCATGCCTCTTTGACTTAAGCTTACAACAACTCCTGACCTTCTGTGTATTCTAATGCAAACCTCATATCAGTTTGACTTCACTCTTTCTGCTAATTGCATCCTAAGCCGGTTGTTAGATGATAAGATAGTTGTTACATTTGGCGAAAACTACCTAAATGACAATATAAAATGACCCCCAATAAGCTAGTTGTTTGAGGATATAAGCTAGTTCTTAGTTGATAACACAGTTTGATGAATTAGTCTTGTTTGACGACAAGTTAGATGACAATATAAAATGACTTAAAAAGTAAATATAAGAGACATAATTGGAAAAAAGGTAGCTGAAAATCTCAATAAGCCATCCGAAGTAATTTTGGTTACAAAACATGGGGTTTATAGGTTTCATTACAATAAAAAAAAAACCTCAAGATTTCCTATAAAAAATCTGAATAAGCCATMTTAAATTATTTATTTGAATTCCGAAATCTTTGGATCTTGAAATTATGTAGATTGAAAAAGTAGATTCCATATTGTCAAAGTCTGGATGGAATAACATATAAACTTGGATTAAGAACTTAAAAAAAACTACATATATTTCCTATTTATAGAAGATCTCTTACAGATTATCTATTTGTTTATCAACAGTTATTACAAAATATTGATATTTAAATGTTTTATCATTAATTGAAGTTCAATGAACGTACCATGGAGTACAACATGTCATTCAAAGGTATGGGCTTCTTTTAAAAGATCTTTACGTTCCGTTTAATTTATGTGATTGGATTGAATTTGGATTTGAATTCCTGATTTCTTGGATTTGAAATCTCGGGATCTTATTAATATAGGATTTTGAAATCGTAGAGGGTGTCTGGTATCTCACAGGACTTTGTAGGATTGTATGTAATAATGTTTTATAAAATATATTAAAAATACGTATTTCTAACGAAGTTCAAATCCTTCAAAATTATTACGAAATTGGTAGAGGTGGTTTCATTGTTGGCAATCAATATGCTAAAAATAAATGCATTTACTTTTGTTATTCTACAAGTGTGTGGTTGGTTATGTGGCCATGTTTTTCCCTAGGGCCAAACAATTAAATTAATAGGCTTGTTCCCTTTCTTGGTTACATTTCATGAAATTCCTAACATTTTTTTAATAAACAAGTATGAGGATGAAATTTGCAATCAATTTTCAAAGCTTTAGGTAGAGATCACTCCAAAGAAAAAAAAAAGGTTGATTATAACTGAGTTACACGCCAAAGAAGATTGACATGAGAAACGTAGTAAAGAGATCGAAAGTTGCATGATGTAAATGTCTCGTTGGGTTTGCTGAAATAGGTGGGGTACGTTGATAGATAGGTTGACGGACGGATTGCATATAGGTTTCATCTTCTTGGGTTGTTATGAGAACGTTGCATGACCCAAGTTTGATATGAACGATGTTATCACTATTCACAAAACCCACACAATATGTGTACGCAGAATAAGAAATAGAAGGGATTTTGATACGAATATTAGATACATGGAATAAGTTGCAGGGGAAGGCATTTTGATGAAAAACGAATGTTAGTCGATTAAATTGGGGCATTTTGGACCTGGGAGATCTCTCGAAAGTCAGAACCCTTTATCTTCGATTAGCTTAAGCATTCTGAGTAATTTATAATTGCTTGTATAACGGCATAACTTTCAACTGAGTTGAAATCAACGCTGAAAATTGCAATCAATTTAAAACCCTTTCTACTTGTTTCTCTGAAGAATTCGCTATGATATATCTGATCCATGCATAATATCATGAAAGATGGAGGCTTACGCCCCATAAAAACTGTCTACCTGAGACTATTCAATTCATTTCATGAAAAAAAACGTGACCAATTATCTAACAAAAAAACTACCATGTCACTTTTAGAAATTATCTAAAAATTAACCCCACAACAGTAATCTCTAATCAATTTTTAAGCGACGTTTCATCATAAAAAACTATATTTTAATCAAATAACAATAAAACTATAATTAAATATTATCTACTATAAGTTAATATCAAATAATTTATTAATTAAATAATTATTATTAAGTAAAATTAATT